ACGTGGCCAAAACTAGTGTTTAGAATTGGCCATTTGGACATTTTTGAAAGTTATCTCCATATACAGAGCCCAACTCAAACTCAGGTGAAATAAACAGGCTCCTTGCTCTGAAGTGCTTTTAAAACCAAAGATGTGGTTTCCAATTGCATTCCTGGGGGTGGGAGTGGAGGAAGGAGGCTCTAATGGTGTTGTTTTCTATCTCCCTGTTTACTCTTTTTATTTAGCAAGAGGTGAACTTAGAAAAAAGATACCAGAAAAGTACAATGAACTCCTGTGTGCCTTTCATTTAGGTTCATCATGTAATCCTTTGGCTACATTTGTTCTAATGATCTGTGATTCTCTCAATATAAAACAATTACAGCAACAATAAACAATAATAGTAATAAGTAATAGTGTTGTAATAGTAAGTGGCAGACATCATGACCTTTTCACCCCTAAATGCATTAGTATGTATTTCCTAAGAATTAAGGTTATAACCATACTACAATTACCAAATACAGGAAACTTAACACTAATACAGTACTATTATATACAAATAGGATAATAGTTCTTAAAGAATGCTCTGAAGAGATGACAGAGTCTAGGGGAGCTGGTATTTCCTGGCCAGAAGGGCTCATTGCAGGTTGTTCTAAACAACTAAGGCTTTCCCAGTGACCAGAGGACACCATGATTTCCCCTCCAGAACATGGCTTTGCCCCAGGCACGGAGCATCCTGTGCTGCTCTTGGCCAATGGTGTTGTGGGCCCTTCAGCTTTATTCACCTGGATGAAAGGACCTCAGAGCCAACTTATCCGACTCCCCACCCTCATAGAAGTCACCTGTGCCCAGGTGCACCTCACACCCTCTCCTCACAGGAAAAGGCTGATGCAGTTCGCTGGGTCTACACTGATCGATCTCTCTCAATCTCTCTCTCTCTCTAGATAGACAGATGATAGATGATGGATAGATAGATGATAGATAGACACACACCATATTACAGTTTCTCTAATTGACACAATAATGCCCTTACAGGATTTTTTTGAATCCAGGATCACTCATTGCATTTAGTTGTCATCTCATTTTACTCTACTTTGGTCTCCTTTGGTTCAGCCTTCCTTTGCCTTTCATGACCTCGACATTTTTGAAGAGTCCAGGTCAGCTTTATTGCAGAATGTCCCTCAGTTGGGTTTGGTTGTCTTTTTAACTGCATTTTATTTTTCAAGTCCCTCCACCATGGTGGGCTAGAAAGACTCCTACCATCACCAGATTTGCATGCACCCTAACCCTCCTCTGCAGCTGGAGTCCCATCCTGGGAGCACTGGGTCACTCCTCAAGGCTAGCTTCCAAACACAGCATGACCATTAGCTTTCAATTTCCTCTCCCTTTGTTTAGCAAATAAATTTTAACTATTCTTTACAATGAACTGTAATTGATGGATTGCTGCAAAATGCAAATAAAAGGGAAGCTTTCTCTAATTTTCTTTCTCCTGTAGGTGGGGGAAGGCTTTTAAATTGTAAATTCTACTACGTTTGCTAGTGAAGGCAGAAAGGCTTTTTTTTTTTTTTTTTTTTTTTTTTAAGGCAAACAATTGCTTTGGGAAGAGAAATGTAAACCTCACTGTTCCACCCTTATTCTTCTTCCCACAATTTCCTCTGTAATCTTTAAATCTGCTGAGCTTTTTCCTTTTTGAGGCCAATTCACCTGCAAGCAGACAAACTGAAAAAATTACGGACTTAGTAGTGAGTATTTCCAACAGATAAATTTAGACCAATTAGAAACTGGCCTTTTAAAAAAAAGAAAGAAACTGGTCTTTTGTACTGAGTTGTTCTCCTTTCTCCTCTATTGGTATTAAAATAACTCCCTGCATGGTCACCTGTTTTGAGGAGGAGAGAGCAAAATGTCTATTAATGGCATCATTTGCCAACTAAAGATTGAATGCTTTATGCTAGTCCAAAGTTTTCTTTCTCTGTTTATTTATCCAGTTACTTATTCATATAGCTAGCTAGCTAGTTAGTTATTCAGTCAGTTAGTTAGTTGACCTGAAATCTAAAAGTCAAGAGGGACCACTGATTTGATAAAAAAGAGTCTGAAATTGGTAGTCAGAAGGTAGACCTGGATTCAAGTCCTGGACTTAATAACCTTAATAAGACCTTAGGGTTTTGAGCAAGTTGCTCCATCAGCCTCCATCAGCATCAGCTTGTGAATTATAAAAATTGAGTAGTAATTGATACTCATTGATGTCACAAGAGTCGATGGGATGAAACCCTTCTATGGGCTTTTTTTTTTTTTTTTTGCTTTTGCTTTTGTGTTTTATACAACTTTATTCCAAGCTGAGGATCTCAATATGAAACTAAACACTGGTGAACTGTTTTCCTTACTAATTCTGAATTACTGTAAATTTACAAGTTCTGCTAGCAGTTCAACACTTAAATAGTTTAAATCATCTCAGACATGTGGTAGATTTCACGTAATGAAAATACCTGAAACAATTAATGCAATATACCGAGCTGATCAAAATGAAATGAACGTTGGAAAAGAAGGCTGCAAGATTACTAACATATTGCAATACATTTCAAATTACCAGTACATTGTTTATTATGGTTCTAGCCATATAGGAACAACTGAAACCCCTTTCTTAAAGCAAGATGGGTTCATGTCCCATACCCTGGGTTTAGCATGGGGTTTGGCATATAATGAGAATCCAGGAAATGTTTTCCCATAAAAATGAATGAACAAATGGAAAATGTATTCAACTTTAAAATACCATTAACATGGGTAAGTCATCATGATAGGAAGATGCACTTCATATTGACATGCCATTCAGCAAAGAACAAAAGAGCAGTTTGTTGCAGCACATGAAATGCACTTTTTAAATGGTTTTCTCATCTTATTTAAAGGCCACATTGACCTCCTTTGTGGTCATGCTCCAGTATAAGAAAAAAGAAAAGAAAAAAAACACAAAACTATGCAATTGCAAAGCAGGAGGGCAACAGAAAAAAATACAAATGAGACCCCAGTAGCCAGGAGTTAAGAAGAAAGGAGAGTGGGTCCATGTTTCTATTTTTTTTCCCATCTTATCAAATAATCCAAAATTATCTCTGTTCCCTCAGCCACAGCAATCTGTGTTTGTAAGGATGCACTGTAAGGTAGAAAGAATCAGTGCTGGACCCACAGGAAATTTGAACTAATGTCTCCTCCTAACTATCTTCGTGACCCTGACAAGTTACTTAACTGCCCTGAGCCTCAGTTTCCTTGTTGGAAATGATGAAGTTAGTAATGCTTACTTCACAGGATTATTGGAGGATTAACAGCTATGCAAGCCCATGTGCTCGGTTTTCTTCCATTTTTAATACTCATCAGTGGCTCAGGACTAGTGATCCCAGAAGCGAAGAGGATAAGTGGCTCATTACTGGTACTTGAGAGCTTTCAACCACACTGATTGGTTTGAAAAAAATCAAGAGTCCACGAAAACTACATTCCAACAATTTCAATTGTTATGTAAAAATTTTTTAAAAATAATGAGCAATAAATCTTGTTATGGTTCTACAGATCCTAACCACTACCAACCCCACCCCCCCCACAATTGCTTGCATCCATTAGACTCTGAAGAACAGCTTAATTAGAAAGTTACTGTATGTACTTCAGATCGTAACCTATCCAAGATGTTAGAGAAATCTTTTAACATCTGAGCCACAAAAATGTAGCTTGGGTGGAGGGGGTGGATAACTAAATAAATAAAACAAGAAAATGAAAGACATGTATCAAGTCCAGAGGTGGCTGGCATCCACGACAGGGCATACCAAAGTTTCCGTCTGGATACTGATAAAACTTAATATTGATTACTTGAAGTTGACAAATCCTAAAGACACAGAACTGTGTAATAAAAAAAAAAATTTTCAATTTTCCAATGTGATGAGAGTCCTCGAGTGATAGCCAACATCATGCAGTGTAGCAATCAAAAGTTAATGTTAGGGGAAATAAGACAGAGGCTTTATATAGCTGTTTGCCTTACCCCAGCAAAGTATGTCTATTAAAGAATGGTGCAGCTCAGTAGATTCACACCTGTAGTGAATCAAATATTCTCTGTCAAGTTAGCTGGCTGTATACACTTTCTTACAATTATCAATGGTGGATTTTAAAGGAATTTTGTTTCTGCTTTTATTATCATAATCTCTAAAAACTCTATGGTCCTTCTTTTTTTAATCAAGAAAGGATTTTCCAATTTACTGTTCAATCATATTAGAAAGAGGATGTGATGAGCCATTTCTAAATAGTTTCTATGGTAGGAACTGGAAAATTATATAGAAAACCCAGCTAATTAGCTGGGAAACCGTATGCTATACATAAATGCTTGATGAAAAGTTTACAGAGGTTTACAGCCCCAAGAAATTCTAGTATTCTGTAGTCTGTTTTGTTTGTTTGTTTTTATTAAGCAAGGATTATCCATTTCATTGAACACCTTGGGAAACTTTAAGCAACTTTTGCTTACAAAAGTTTTACAGTTACAGACTTGGTTTGTTAAAGATTTGTGGTGTTGGCCAAAAACTGGAGAGGACAATTGCATTTAACAAAATTCAACATTCACTTCGGAAAATTGTGTTTCCAAATCACACATGCCCACAAAAGGAAAATACAGTATAATCCACCACAGAAAGGGAAATGACAAATGAGAAGTTAATAGTGTAGGGGCGCCCGGGTGGCTCAGTCATTAAGTGTCTGCCTTCGGCTCAGGTCATGATCCCAGGGTCCTGGGATTGAGCCCCACATTGGGCTCCCTGCTCAGCGGGGAGCCTGCTTCTCCCTCTCCCACTTCCCCTGCTTGTGTTCCCTCTCTCGCTGCGTCTCTCTCTGAAAAAAATTAATAAAATTTAAAAAAAGAGAGAGAGAAGTCAATAGTGTAACCTTTAGGAAGGTGGCCGCTTGATACATTTTGGGAATGGTATGAGTTTGACTGTAAATGGCAATAAACAAATCCTCTTTAGACAGAACAGTCTGTTGCATGATGGGATGTCATTTTCTAGGTCTCATTCGTCTGCAAGAGCTCATCAAAGCTCCCTCCAGATATAACATTAAAATCAAAATCCGCCAGCTGCCCTCTGGGAATAAAGATGCCAAGCCTTTACTCAAGGAGATGAAGAAGGGCAAGGAGTTCTATGTGATATTTGATTGTTCACATGGAACAGCTGCTGAAATCCTTAAGCAGGTAAGAGTGGCAGGGAGGAGGTAAAGTTGGGGGTGTGTGGATTTGTTCATTGCTCTTTCTCAAAAATGCCATCTGGTTTCACTTAGTGCAGCATGATAAAACTGCGGAAGTCCGGTTTAGGCTGAGGCGGCTTTAGGAGCCCTTTTAAAGGATTCAGGAGTTCATACGGCTCAGGGAGTTCAAAGAAGCCACCTGTTATATATAGTTGTAGATGTGGGGCCCTGTGTATTGGGAGGCATGTAGATCCTATCAACAGAGAAGGATAACATTTCAAGGTGATTAAGCATCTTTTCTTTTACACCTCTTGAAAAGACTGAGCAGATTTCATTTACATAACACCTGACTTGTCCTAAATATATCTTCCTCATGGCAAGACCTCTTTTGTCAAACATGTATGATTCTGAGCATAGTGAAAAGGGGGCACAGGAGACAACAAAGAAAAGATGCTTCTCTCTTCTAACTTGTCACAGACAATGAGCTGCCATGCATTAATCTTGATGAATAATGTGGGTGGAAACCCTTGGTAAATTATGAAATCGTATGTAAATGAAAGATGTTAGTAATGTTAGGAATAATAACAACAGGGTAATCATTTTTGAGCACTTCGGGACATAGCACTGGTCTTATGCTCACAAAAGAAAATTCAGAATTAAAAAAGTTAAAGCATAGACTCGTGGTCCTCAGCGCAGAGGGATTTTGTACCCTCGGGGACTTTTGGCAATGTCCAGGCACATTTTTGGTTGTCATACAGGGGACAGTGGTACTCTCCTGGCAACGAGTAATTAGAGGCCAGGGATGCTACTAAACATTCTGTAATGCACTGCACATCCCCCACAACAAAGAGATGTATACCCTAAGATACCAGTAGTGCTGAGGTTGAGAAATTCTGGTATAGACAAAGACAACGGAAAAGGCTAGCCAGATGCTTAAAATAGAGGCATTAATAAAAGATCGAGGGATGAGTTTGGAGGAACGTGGGAAAAAATAGCCAGGTCATATTTACGTGGCCTTAAATGGGTGTCTCTTTGTATTTAATTTAAGCAGTTACTGTGGCAAAAGGCAATGTTCTTATCTGAAATGACACAAACTATTATTGTACTCCCTAGTTTAAAAGGTGTAGGATGAGCTATGTGGTTGACTGGCAATGGGCACTACTTTTATAAGTAGATCAACCCCTCTGCACAAATGCAGAGCTGTGGATCTCCAAACCACTTGGGAGAGCTCTTAGAGCAGCCAACCTGCCTGACTCTCCAGTGTTGGATCTCATACTTGAAGGGCATCTCTCTGAAGCCCTTGAGTTCAGAGTTGAGTTTTTAATTTCACTGAAAGTAAACAATCAGGAAAGTTGACTAGAGGTTTCTATTATCTCCTGGATGATTACACTAAAAATCTATTTCAAGTCATAGAACATATTTAAAGTTGCAGTCGAAAACAATCTTAGGGCAGCGCCTGGGTGGCTCAGTCGGCTCAGTCGGTTAAGCATCCGCCTCTTGATGTCAGCTCCAGTCTCAATCTCAGGGTTGTGAATTCAAACCCCCATTGGACTCCATGCTGGGCATGGAGTCTACTTAAAAAAAAAGAAGAATCTTAGACATCATCAAGGCTAACCCTCTCACTGGAGAGGAGCAAGAAACTGGATCTCAGCCTCCTCTAGCCCACCTGCACCTTGTCCACTATGAAATGTTGCTTTTCCAGTTAGGTGGAGAATATGTGTTACCTACTCTAGACTACAGGTGCGTTAACAAATCTTTAGATATAATAATTATAATGATCTCGCAGTAAAGAAAGCAAGCATGTAGCAGTGATGTCAACAGCTCACTTTAAAGGTAAAAAAAATACAATCAGCGCCACTTTATCTTAAGGCTTCATTTGAGAATTTCAGTACAGTCTATTAAAGTGTGTAATAGGTTATGAACCAGAACTGAGAAAAACACCCATATTTTATGTGTAGCCCTCAAAATGCAAAGAAGCATTTCTTTCCAGGAACGTGTTATAACAGAGACTGGGGACTTCCATTACATTTAAGAGAATGATTTGCTGACGAGGCTTATCTTGGTGAGATACCCATTTGGCTCACATAACTGGCTACCTCTCTCCCAAAGCACAGGCTTAGAATGGGCAAGTCTGGGAAAGAGCTGCTAGAGTTTCTCCTCTATTTCAATAAATATGGATATGATGTTCCTTTGATGAAAGTGGCTCTTTCCTGGTAGCATAGAGATTACATCATTCAGAGATCAATTTTTTAAACAACAAACCAAAAAAAAAACCCCTCTTAGTGAAGCACTCCCAAGAAATGTCTGCCGAGGGTAAGGGGGAGAGGGATCAGTTCAGCTTTGTTCTAAACATTGACACGAAAACTTTTGCCTCTATTCTGTGCCATATCATATTCTATCCTGTGTTTACTCTTCCTCATCATGTGTGGGGTAAGATTGCTGCGAGGCATTGGGGGAAACTACTAAAGAGCATGTTCATCCACCTTTTGTTGTAGACTAATGAACTACAAATGTTGGGGGGGAGAGCCTTTTTAGAATGTTCCAGTGTAAAACCCCTCCCTTACTGTATGTGAAAATACCATCACTCTGTGAAATCACACCAGAGGATCTAGGTTGCCATGAAGGTCTTCCAGATTGGTTTAACTGGGTTTAATCTGGACCTCCAAGAAGCTGTGTGGTTGGAAAGTGAGACTGAAGACCTCAGGACTTTCTATTCTGGTCAAAATGAGGCCCAGTGCTCTGTGTGATCCAGTTTGACTTGACCCATTGGCTTTGGGCAACAAGCTGTAGAAACAAAGAGACCTTCCCTCTGTCTGGCAAGCGTGTCCCTAGGGAAGCTGAAGACTGCAGGAGTTCAAGGTCCTAATTCTGGCCACCATTCAACCAATCTCTTCCTACCTCTTCTACTGAGGTGCAAATGATGGTGCCTGGCATCCTATATACTGTTTTATGAAGCCTCAAATAACCCCTGGGGTAGATTTGGTATTCTCAGTTCAGAGTTGAAGAAACTAAAGCTCAGATAGGTTAAGTGCCCTGACGAGGTCACTCTCTGAGTAGCCAGGCTGCTTCACGGTCTCCAGACCACCTATTCTCAGCGCCTGTGTGCACATTTTACCATGCAGTGCCCCCCTGCAGAATGGATAAGCCATTCCATTTCGAAGTAGGCTTCCAGAAACATCTGAAAAAAAAAAACACAGCCACTTGCTGCTGGTCTCCTTTATATGAAATTAATATTAATAACTCTCACTTTTTTGGTGACTAAAATCATTGCTGATAAAATTTTCTCTGCCAGGTCAACTTGGCTTTCTTCTCAAGCACATTTCCCATTATTTCCGTGCATTTCCCTGCACCTTCATCATATTTTACTACTTTTTAATGATTCTTCAGAAAAAAAAGAAATCAAATGCACTTTAAAGGAGATATCTGACATTTATCTAAAAGTAAAAATTGGGGGAAAGTCTATAGTTATTCTTGGGCATGCTAATCACTCCAACAAAGTAATTATTTCTATTCATATTGAACAAGTGCTATATGATCAGAATCTGAAAAGTTATTTCCCAAAAATTAGTTAGAAATTCAAATGTCAAGACTTGATTAGGCTACAGAAGAACAGAGATTTCGTATGACTGATCTGTCTTCGTGAATTTCTGTAGCCTGAGAGTGTCCCCAGCAACCAGCAGCACACACAAGGGACCCATCCCATCACTTGGTGTCCTCTTCTGTCCCTGCCCATTCGCCACCTCCCAGCCGGTGTCCTGCTGCTTCGCAAGGACACTCCCGTCTCCCAGCCCGTCTCCAGCATGGACACCGCCAGTCCTCTGCAACTCCTCGCTTTTACTTCCTCCAAGTCCCACTCTCTCCCCATTGACTCTCCAGTGCCCACCTTGTCTGTACCCTTGTTTGCTTCTGAGTGTGATTCTACCAAGAGAGTGGCTGATGGGAAGTGAATTTAAAGATAAGGAACAAGATAAGAAGACTCTGTACCAGCACGCTTAAAACGTGCCCAGTGCCATGCTGGGTGATAAGCAACCATTTCCTTTAATCTACACAACAACTTTTGGTATAATTAGTATTATCCCTCTTTTGCACACAAAACAATGAAGCTCAGAGACAGTAATAATTTCATCTACCATGTAATGAGCATGCTCTTAATCCAGAGTTCCAGGCATTGACTCATTTGTTGTCCATATTCCTGACAATAATACAACCTCCAACAGGATAGAAACCTCCTTTGTCTTGTTCTCCCTAATCCTGAGCATGTACAACATTATTTGACACATAGCGCTCAACACTGCTCTGTTGAATGTATAAAGGAAAAGGGTGAATGAATGATCCAAGAACTGTACTAGCAGCTCTTGATAAAAGCAATCTCCAAAATCACCTCCCTTCTACCTGACTCAGTGTACTATACTCTCAACTCTGCCAAGACATTTGAACAAGTTGCTCTTCTATGCCTCAGTTTTCTCAAAGGAAGATTTTATTCAACCCCTGAAATCCTATATTATTAAGAACTGTAATGCATTTCAGCCTACAATTCCACTTCCTGAAAATAAATTTGCCTCTTCAGAGAAATGCATAGTCACTTTCAAATCCTGTAATAGGATTGAGAAAGCAAGTCACAATTTCAAGCACGGTAGTCGGAATCCTAATGCTTCCCTGATAGAAAGGGAGGGAATACTGTGATGCTCCATCCAGCAGGGAAGCTGCATCAGGGCTGGGCCACGTCCCTGAGCTGGAGAGCAGCCATACTGAGCGTGAACATACTGTTTCTGACTCAGGAAACCTGCTCTCTTGTTTACACGAGCAAGTGCTTCAGAAGAGAGACTTTTTTCCCCTCACGACACTTATAGCAATGAGTATGAAGCTATAATTGAGCCATTAGTCTCCATAAAACATTTTAGGACCAAAATATTTTGTGGAATTTTATCACATTTTCTCCTGTCAACATTTGTGTGCTCTTGTTTTTATTTATTTATTTTTTCCTTTCTGTCAATTAACATAAAAACA